GGAGGTCAAGACCAACCTGGCCAACGTGGGGAACCCCCATCTCTACTAAAAATACAAAAATTAGCCTGGTGTGGATTATCACACCGTAATCGTGGTGGGTAAACTACTACTCTTAAATAGGAAAACTAAAAGATAAATCAATCAAATGTAATAACTACAAAATTTCAAGAAATAGGCAGTACATTAAGATATAAATAGAAAAAACAAAAAGTTTAAAAGCGTACAAAGTTAAAATATAGAGTTTTTACTAGTTTTGATTTTGCTTATTTATTTGCTTATACAATCAATGTTAACTTGTCATCAGCTTAAAATAATGGGTTATAAGATAGTGTCTGCAAGCCTCAACAAAATACTAGCAAGCTGAATTCAACAACATATTAAAAAGATCATTCACTTATCATGACCATGTGGGATTTATCCCAGAAATGCAAGAATGGTTCAACATATACAAATCAATCATTATGATACATCCTTTAACAGAATGGAGGACCAAATCATATGATCATTTCAATTGGGGCTGAATAAGCATTTAATAAAACTCAACATTCTTTCATGGTAAAAACCCTCAAAAAACTGGGTATAAAAGGAATTTACCTCAACATAATGAAAGCTATATACAACAGACTTGCACCTAGTATACTGAATGGGGGAAAACTGAAGGCCTTTCTTCTAAGATCTGGAACACAGCAACAATACCCACTATCACCACTGTTATTCAACAGAGAACTGGAAGTCCTAGCTAGAGCAATCAGACAGGAGACAGAAATAAGGACATCCAAAGTGGAAAGGAGAAAGTCAAATTATTTTTGTTTGCTGATGATATGATCTTACATTTGGAAAAACCTAAAGACTCCACAAAAAAACTATTAGAATAGATAAACAAATTAAGTAAAGTTGCATAATACAAAATCAGCACACAAAAATCAGGAACATTTCTATATGTCAAGACTGAACAATCTAAAAAAGAAATCAAGAAAGTAATCCCATTTACAATGGCTAGAAATAAAATACCTAGGAATTAACCAAAGAAGTGAAAGATCTCTACAATGAAAACTACAAAATATTGATGCAAAAAACTGAAGAGGACACACACACACACACAAAAGATATTCCATGTTCATGGAATGGAAGAATTAATAATGTTAAAATGTCCATAGTACCCAAAGCAATCTGCAGATTAAATGCAATCTCTATCAAAATACCAATGACATTCTTCACAGAAATTTTTTTTAAAATCCTAAAATTTATATGGAATCACAAAAGACCCAGAATAGCCAAAGCTATTCTGAACAAAAAGAACAAAACTTTAGGAATTATATTACCTGATTTCAAATACTACAGAGCTCCAGTAACTAAAGTAGACGATACTGGTATAAAAATGGACACAGAGACCAATGGAACAAAATAGAGAATCTCAAAACAATTGCATACATCTACAGTGAACTCATTTTCAACAAAGGTGCCAAGAACATACATTTTGGGAAAAGAAAGTCTCTTTAAAATACGGTACTGGGAAAACTGGATATCCATATACATAAGAATGAAACTAGATCCCTATCTCTCTCCACATACAAAAATCAAATCAGGATTAAACACTTAAATCTAAGACCTCAAACTATTTAACATACTAAAATTAAACATTGGGGAAACTTTCCAGGACACTGGAGTGGGCAAAGATTTTTTGAGGAATATTCCCACAAGCAGATGCAACCAAAGCAAAAATAGATAAATGGGAGAATATCAAGTTAAAAATCTGCATAGTGAAGAAATCAATGAACAAAGGGACAACCTGTAGAATGGGAGAAATATTTTCAAACTACCCATATGACAAGGTATTATTAATCAGAATATGTAAGGAATTCAAACAACTCAACAGGAAAAAATGTAACACTCCAACTTAAAAACGGGCAAAAGATTTGAACACACTTTTCTCAAAGGAAGATATAAAAATGGCAAAGTCATATGAAAAGATGCTCAACATCAACAGTAATATGCAAATTACAGAGAAATGCAAATCAAAACTTCAATGAGATATAATCTCACCCCAGTTTAAATGACTTTTATCCAAAGACAAGCAGTAACGCATACTAGAGAGGCTAGAGAAAAAAGAAAATCTTGTACACTGCTGGTAGAAATGTAAACTAGTACAACCAGCATGAAGAACAGTTTTGAGGTTTGTCAAAAGACAAAAATAGAGCTACTATATGATCCAGCAATCCCACTGCTGAATATATACCCAAAAGAAAAGGAATTAGTATTTCAAAATGACATCTGCACTTTCATGTTTATTACAGTACTGTTCACAATAGCCAAGATCTGGAAGCAATCTACATGTCCATCAACAGATGACTGGATAAAGAAAATGTGGTACATATACAGAATGGAGTATGATTCAGCCAGAAAAAAAGTATGAGATCCTGTCATTTGCAACAATATAGATGGAACTGGAGGTCATTATGTTAAGTGAAATAAGCCAGGCACAAAAAGACAAATTTAGCATGTTCTCACTTATTTGTGAAAGCTAAAAATGAAAATAATTGAACTCATAGATATAGAGAGTTAGAAGGAAGGTCACCAGAGGCTGTGAAGGGTAGTGAGGGGGTGGGAGAGGACGTGGGGATGGTTAATGGGTAGAAAAAAAATAAAGAGAATAAATAGGAACTGTTTGTTTTCTTTTTGAGATAGAGTCTTGCCCTGTCACCCATGCTAGAGTGCAGTGGAACAATCTTGGCTCACTGCAACCTCGGCCTCCCAGGTTCAAGTGAGTCTCCTGCCTCAGACTCCCAAGTAGCTGGGATTACAGGCAAGTACTACCACACCCAGCTATTTTTTTGTATTTTTAGTAGAGCCAGGATTTCATCATGTTGGCCAGGCTTGTCTCAAACTCCTGACCTCAAGTGATCTTCCCACCTCAGCCTCCCAAAGAGCTGGGATTTATAGGCGTGAGCCACCATACCTGGCCAAGAACTAGTATTTGATAGAACAACAGGGTGACTATAATTAGTAACAATTTAATTATACATTTGAAAATAACTAAAAGAATATAATTGGATTCTTTGTAACACAAAGAACAGATCTTGAGGTAGTAGAGATACCATCTACTTTAATGTGATTATTATGCATTGCATGCCTGTATCAAAATATCTCACATAGCCCATAGTATATACACCTACTATGCACTCACAAAAATTAATAATTAAAAAGAAATTCTCTATCTTAAATACATATAATTTTTCTTTTAATTATACCTCAGTAAAGCTAGAAAACACTACTAGTCAATATGCTTTATGAACACTAATTCAAGAATCCTTGACAAAACACCAGCAAACTGAATTCAGCAGTATATTAAAAGATGGGCTGGGCCCAGTGGCTCATACTTGTAATGTCAGCACTTCGGGGAGCCAAGGTGGGCAGATCACTTGAGGCCAGGAGTTCAAGACCAGCCTGCCCAACATGGAGAAACCCTATCTCTACAAAAAATACAATAATTAGCCAGGCGTGATGGTGCACACCTGCATCCTCACCTACTCAGGATGCTGAGGCACGAGAATCGCTAGAACCCAGGAGAAGGAGGCTGCAGTGAGCCAAGATTGCATCACTGTACTACAGCCTAGGTGACAAAGAGAGACTATCTCAAAAAATAATAACAATTCAACATTTTAGGAACAGAAAAACATTACCTCAACAGAATAAAATCTGTTTATGAAAAATTATGACAAAATTGTTGGAAAATGCAAAACTCAGTAACAGAGGAGTATTATTTTAAACATGCTAACTTCACTAACATTAAAAGTAAAGATTTTGAGTAAATTTAGTTTAAAGATACGTAATTCTAGTTCTTTATAACCCAATAAGAGATAAGAAATAAATGTCTACATCATGTATAATTTTTTACATTATAAAACACAATATTGTCTATCTCCTCAAACTTCAATTTTAGCATTTAAAACAATTGTTTAATAAGTTTGTTATCTCAAAGAGAGCTTTAGGTTGTTTTACATCCTGTTCGCTTCACACATAGGGGTTGTAGAACTTTAAGAAAATAAAGAACTAAAGATAATTTAGCCTTAAGATATTAAATTATGTATCATTTCAATATTAACTTTACCTTGGAGCCTCGAGTTTCACATGCAAAATACTATGCAACATCTTCAAGATTTTGGTTTTGGTTTTGAAGATGCATGCAGGATTTATTATTTGTTTCACCTTTCTTGTTTTTATTCTTGGGATCTTTTTAATTGCTTGGCCTCAACATACTCATTTTTTTTTCCACATTATATTCTTTCCACTATTTTGTTAGGCAACAACAGTTTCTGGATCAGCCTTTCATTCAATAGTTTACATTTAAAAATGAGACCAAGAAATGATTTGCTCCATCTAGCAACATGTGTGCCTGCACTTTTCAAGTATACAAATACCCACTTGCTCCCATGAGAGAGACTATAACCATCTCTCCATCCCTCACAAAAGCCAGGATCCCAGGTTCATTTCCAGAATGGATATATATGATACGACTGTTGAACCACTGGGCCAGACTTAACATTATACCTTTCAACAAAATATATTTCATGGCTCATGGCTCATAAATGTAGTTTCACTGTAGACAGAGCACAATGAGTAAATCTACCCTTTTTCATGGCAAGGAGCCCAACTCATATTTTTACTGGCTTACTACTGACTAAATTAAGTCCCAATTTCTTAAAAAAAGGAAGAAAAAAAAAAACCACTCATGGCTGAAAATAAACAGTCATTTCAATATGGCTGCCAAGGACAGACTTAAAAATGAACTAATATATTCCAGGCTCAATCTCAAGATACATAACAAGTCCAAAGAAAAAAATAATGTGCTAAATAAAACAACTTAGCATTAAGTACTGTTACTTTTCACGAAAGAGTAAAGTTCTATAAACTGAAAATCTAAGAATGTTAACATGTCAGTTAAGAACAGCAACAAGCCCCACATATCAGCTACTCAATGTAAAGTTCTTTAGGACACATACCCAAGTCTTCCTAGCATCTCAAGATCAGGAACTTGTGGTCCATATGTCTCTATCTGCAGTGGCTGGTATTCATACAGAGCTTCTTCAAGCTTGTGAATAGGTGCCAGTGAAATATGCTGACCCTGTTAGAAAAATGAAGGAAATTAATACCTTTTAATATTACCTTAATATTGCTATTTATAATCATTTTAAAGATGAATTAAATTCCTCACATTAGAAGTATTATCCATTAGTTGTGCTGTTCCATGGGTACAATGCATTGCATAACTGAAACCCACATAACATAATTTATAGTCATTTATACATGATTTAAAAGAGAAAAACTAACTCCATCATTAAATTCAAATTTAGCATAAAACAGTACAGTTGTTCAATGTCAGTGGTAGAAGTCATCAAATACAAGAAGACTTCAAAAAGTTTATGCAAAATACATATAATTTAAAAACTATGCATGGATTTTTTTAAATGTTTGCACCAAAATAAGCTTGTACTAACTCGTTATAATATGTCTGAACAGCACCTAGTTTGAGGCACAAAGAAGCATAAGATCATTTGAAAAAAGCTCCTATCAGACCAATGTGAATTCTGCTCAACTGAAACAAGAACAAACACTTATGGTGAAGATTGGATAGAAGAATGGCAAAATCATTGAAGCTTTACAAGAAGTTAATGGGGACAATGCCACAAAGAAATCAGCAGTTTACAAATGGATAACTCATTTTGAGAAGGAACAAGAGATTGTTGAAGATGAAACCCTCAATGGCAGACCATCTACATCAATTTGTGAGGAAAAAAAAGGTAACCTTGTTCATGCCCTAATTGAAAAGGACTGATGATTAACAGCAGAAACAACAGGCAACACCATGGACACCTCAACTGATTCAGTTTACACAATTCTGACTGGAAAATTAAAGTTGGGCAAACTTTCCACTCAATGGGTGCCAAAACTGTTGCACCCAGATCAGTAGGAGAGGAGAGCAGGGCATTCGGTGGAAATTTTAAAACAAGTGTGATCAAGATCCTGAAGGCTTTCTTCAAAGAACAGGAGATGAAATATGCCTTTACCAGTACTGAAGACAAAGTGCAATCAAAGCAGTGGGTACCAAGAGGTGGCAGTGGTCCAGTCAAAGCAAAAGTGGACTGGTCACAAGTGAAGGTCATGGTAACAATTCAAAAAACTGCCAGTTCAAAATGCTCGTGGCACTTTGCTTATTGAGTTTCTGGAGGGCCAAAATACAATACCATCTGCTTATTATTATGAGAGTGTTTTGAGAAAGTTGGCAAAAGTTTTAACAGAAAAATACCTAGGAAACCTTCACCAGAGTCCTTTCCCCATCACAACAGTAATCCTGCTCATGAAATCTCATCAAACAAGGGTAATTTGCAAGAGTTTCCATGGGAAATCATTAGGTGTCCACCTTAAAGTCCTGATTTGGCTCCTTCTTACTTCTTTTTGTTTCCTAACCTCAAAAAATTTGTAAAGGGAACCCATTTTTATTCAGTAATAATATAAAAAAGATTTCACTGACATAGTTAAATTCCCAGGACCCTCAGTTATTTAGAGATGAACTAAATTCCTGGTATCATTGCTTACAAAAGTGTCTTGTTCCTGTTGGAGCTTATGTTGATAAATAAAGTTTATATTTTTTTATATTTATCTTTTAATTCCATTTTCCATGAACTTTTTTAAGTCCCCTTGTATATAAGTATAGTCTAACCTCACATTTTTCTATTTTTATTAAACAACTTTGACATTTTTTACAGTGTTTTTTTTAAAGCTCTAATTAGGGAAGAAAGCTAATGAAATTATTTGCTACAAAGCTATGCCACATAAATGTCTATTCTCTGAAGTCTTTACATGAAATCAAACTAACTTACCAAATACGTATTTATGTAACATCACATACACACATTAAAAACAAAATAAGAAAAATTTATGCTGAAAACTAAATGGATTAAAACATCCATTTTATTTTTCTAAGAAGAAAGAGCTGCTGGGTAACTAAAATACAAAGACCCTATAGATCATATTTGAGCATAAGTATGTAAAATAAAGTGCCACTCAGCTATATACCCTTACATTGAGATTTACATATCTATCATCCATATGGCATAGAATTCTAATTTATAAAAATCCCAACTTTTTATATAGTCTATGTTTTCTGATTTTAACCCTCATTCTCTTATTTTTCTTGGTATAGTTCACATCTGTTTCTATGTTTCATAACTTTTTATAAAGCATTCTTGCAGTTATTCTTCCAGTGTCTAGTTTATAAATGTTTTGTTATTATGTCACTTAGTTTCCTTTTTCCCTTAAATTACTAAGTTGGATGCAAAGTATACATTATCTCTTTTATTTAAAAAAAAAAAAAAAGTAAAAGGCATGACATAAAAGTGATAAAATACAATTGTAGCAGTGAGAAACAACCATCAAAGATGCTTGCACCTAAATTACAGTTTTTCTCTTCAACAAGTTCAATACCATGTAGCATCATCCTAGCTAGTTTAATAGGCATATTATAATAGGCACCTCTAACACTGTAATGTCAACAGCACTTCACCAAAAGCAGGTGAAGGACTTGAAGAGAGATTTCACCACAGAAGATATACATATTGCCAATAGGTATATGAAAAGATGCTCAATATTACTAGTCATAAGGGCAATGTAAATCAAGCAATGGTGAGATACCACTTCACACACATGGCTATTTAAGATGGCTATTATTAAAAAGAAAAACAGAAAATGCTAAGTGTTTGTGAAGATGTAGACAAACAGAAACTCTGTTTTGTGCATTGCTGGTGGGAATGTACAGTTGCTGTGGAAAATGGTATGGCAAGTCCTTAAAAAATTAAAAACAGAATTACCATATGATCCAGCAATTGGACTTCTAGGTATATACCTGAAAGTGAAAGCAGGGTTTCAAAGAAATATGTGTTCACCAATGCATATTTACAGCAGCATTATTTACACTAGCCAAAAGTTGGAAGCAACCCAGTGTCCATGAAGGAATAAACGAATAAATAATATGTGGTGTGTATGTGTGTGTGTGTGCACGCGTGTGTGTGTGTGTGTACACACACATTGATACAACAGACTATTATTCAGCCTTTGAAAGGAAGAAAATTTTGACATGTAACAACATGGATGAACCCTAACGATATTAAGATAAATGAAATAACATATTCATAAAAGGACAAAAAATATATGACTCCACTAATAGAAGGTTCCAAAGCAGTCAAATTCATGGAGACATAAAATAAATCAGTGGTTACCAGAGGCTAGGAACACAGGAAAGAGCAGTTAGTATTTCATGGGTACAGGTTCAGTTGAGAAAGATGAGAAATTTTTGAAACTGAATGGTGGTGATAAATGCACAACAATATGGGTGTACTTAATGTCACAGAAATGTACAGTTAAAATTATTAAAATGTGAAATTTTTATATTACATGTATTTTACCATAATTTTTTTAAATGAGTTTTGAATAACCTAATTTTCTCATTTGCTTTGATAGACTAATATGCAGGAAACAGAGAAAAAGAGTGTAATGTCAGAAACTTCATTCATATTATTTTAACCCCTAACCTCCATGTTCCACAGCCTTTCTAAAAAAAAACATGAAACTGTCAAGCTAAATCTTATACTATCACAGAATAATCCAATTTCAGACCAATGATTCAGAGAGCATTGCATAGGTTAAGAAGACAGTGCCTGAGTGGGATATTTTGAAACTTGTTCTGACATCCCTATTTCAGTGTCTTCTTCATAAATTGTCAGACACTAAATTCTCCTACCATATGATACAAAATGTTCAGTATTGGTGTCACATGTTTTAGCTATAGGGGTAAAAGGGAGGGGAGAAGAGTGAAAGAGAGGAGGGTAAGTGAGGGAAAGGAAAAATACTGAAACAATTAAAGAAGTACACTTATAGTCTCACCAGCACTCCATGGCATTTAAGAAATTACAGAGCAAGGTCCAAAAAGGTTGACGCAGAATGGATATTTTCAAGAATTGGAATACCTTCCAAGGAAGATAATATTCAAGAAAGATAAGCTTTCTTAAGTAGTTGCACTGGAAAACAACATACTAAAACTAATCATTCTCTAAATATTAGCAACAATACCCAAATTACTAAAGTTATGATAACTTATAATTCAGTCTTCTCTGAAGTTTGTCGGGACATCATTTACAACAGCCAAAAAGATCAGTGAATAAGAATAGTTAATATTATTTATTTTGTGTCAGGCACTATGCTAAAGAGTTTTATATACATCATGTCAGCGTCCACAATAATTTAATGAAATAAGTACTATTAATCACACTTTATGAATAAGGAAATAGGGGTTAGATAAGTGACTGAGCAAGATCATACTGTAATGGCAGTTTGATGATTAAAAGCCAAGTCTATCAGATTCTAAAGCCTGTGCGTTTTTCTCCCTAACACCTTCATTTTATGGATATGGAAGCTAATATTCTCAAAATGTAAATTTTTCTAAGGTCACATAGAGTTAGGTCTCTCAATTCCTGCCCAGCGTAGGTTCCACACACTGCCTTTTACTATCTTATTTTTAAAATAATATAATCATGGTTGTTCAATTTAAAAGTTTTAATGGCAGTAAGTAAATACTACGTGGTTTTTAAACCAATTTTTTATATAAATTCTAATAGTTGAGATACTTAAAACACCATAGGCTCAAAAAGAAGTATTTTCTAAAACTTACAACATTTAGAGAGAAATAAACATTACTCAGTGGTAGTTCTGTTTGCCATAAGAATAAGACAAAGTTCATAAATGACACACAAACTGCCCTTCTAACATTCCATCTATCTTTCCCTCAGAAAAAACTCATGTGAGACAGATGCCAAGGTTCTCAAACCCAAAGCTGGGGCAGAGCTTAGAGAACAATGACTTACACTCACTGACATGTTTTTAAATGTTTTTAAATCACCAAGAGAGCAGATAACGGCTTAACAGGTGACATGAGAAAAGTATTAGGGTTTTAAGTGACTGCGGGGGGGAAAGGCTTAAAAGTTTTTTAGATGAAAAATGGTTACTGGTGATATTTCCACCCAAACAGTAAGGGTGGTAGATATTATTCTAAATTATCAGAAAAAGGAAGAT